CGTGAGTGTATGGCGCGGAATTCGCCAGTGACGATGGCTGTGGAATTCGGGTCCCTTTGGAAAAGTCCGAGGATGTTTTACTGGTTAGCGACGCTGGTATCGCAACAAGCTCACTCAGCCCTATCAACATGAATTTTAATTCAAAAGTTACCGACGTCACTATCAATACGATAGGAACACTTTTTTATTGTCGTTCGCAAACTTTAAAATGAAAGATAACCAACTCCGACACCCACCACTGATGAGTGCAGCTACCGAAAATACTTACAAGTACTTCAGCCGCTTCTTATCCTCCGGTTCCGTCTCAAAGCATCCGGTTGTTGCTGAATTCGCGTACCATTTAGCGGCGGTACAAGCAGTGCGATTCAGATACGTTGATGGGACCGAGTACACGTCCTTGTCGCCAATATTATCCGGGAAGTTCACATAATACAGACCATAACGAGGTGCATACAAACCCCACTCGTAGTTATCCACGAAGCTCCACGCCGTGTAGCCGATGATAGGGATCTTTTCCTCGTAGATGGCATGATGTACCATCTCAAGGTGAGTGCGATAGTACCACAACTGGTCTTGGTTGCCAATGGTTTCATTTCCACACCATCCGTTCTCCGTCAGCAACATGCCCGTGCTCGTATCGTATGCGTGTGCCCAACGGATGTACTTGATATAACTGGGTGGGAAACAGAAATGATCGGTGCAACTGGTTGGGTTAGCAATGCTACCAGATCCGATAATCGAGTCGTTGTGCACTTGCGTGTTATCAGCTCCCATGTCAGCGAAATACCCTTTCATAAGACTAGAGCAACTCGTTTCTGAATGCTCCGAATCGCAAAAGGTAATCAGGTTGGAGAAATAATGGTTGATCATGATGAGGTCGTATGACTCTTTGCCTATCGTCGTCAGTTAAGCTTGGTAGACAGTTTCCAACACTCTCGCGCATCATAGGCGCGTAGTCACCGGTGGAAAGTGGGGCCAGAAACCAGCCCAAGTTAAACCGATTGGAGCACTCACAACTGAGGGCACAGTTGCATCATACGAATACCGAATCCTGAGAGGAACGCTTCCTTGATTTTGGAGATTTCGGAAAAGTGCAACCATATCTGCATGAGCCAGCAGCAAATTAAGCGCAGCCTCGTACTCGTCGCTGTCTGTTACGGCGAAAATGTAGAAGATGTACATGTACGAAAGCGGCTCGTTGATCGTCGACCAAAACTTCACTTTTTGACCAAATTCGGTCAGAATGAGTTCGGCGTAGTCTTTGAGGATCGTAAAGTTAAGGAAATCACCAGCGAATACAGCTTGACGGGCATCTCCTAGTGAAAAAGCATCAACAAGGGCCCAATCCCGCTTGCAACGAGTCCGTCCACCAGGGAGTGATAAAACGCCAAACCATCGCGATTCGGCTGCATACGCTGAAGTGTGCTGTTCCAGTGCATGACACGCAACCACGAGATTGAGAATCGCATCGATCACGGCCCCTTCAACTTATTAGGACGCTGTGGCTGACCCGAAGAGGAAGTTGGTGGGGAAGCACTTGGTCGAGGAGTTAGCAGGTGTTACTGAAGGACTCCGACGACTAAGTAGAAACGTTTTCGGAGGAAGGGTGTGAGCTGACGCTGCAGCCATAGGCGGAGAGAGCAGCGCACCAGCAGATAACTGCTCCGATAATATTCGTAGCCCGAGTTAAACCATCTTTGATGTATGAGAGAGATCAGAACAAAGACTTGGGTAGAGCGTGTGTAGTCCGGGGAATTTGATGAAATGACCCCTCTATTCATAGCTCGAGTTCTAACCAGGTTTTCCATTCTATCTCTTAAGGATTTATACCGGTAAATATACTTAAATGATGGGATTGTGGCATGAGTTGATTTTGAACTCACCTGGCCTCACTCAACGAAAACGCTGTTTACAACTGGCTAAGATTATGCGCGAGTTCTTCAGTGGGCTGAGAAAGGAAATGTGATCACTAGAACTTGATTGCGGTAATAACCGGTTTGTACCGGCTCTGGATTCTACAGTTGAGAAGCCAATCTGAATCCACAGATGAAGAGCCGATTACTGCTTAGCTGTGCGTTTAGCAGACGTGCGCAACGTATTCAGTCGAACATGGCACGAGCTTTGTTGCTCTACGCGGCATCGGCGCTGGTCGTGTCGGAATGGCTTACACCCACCTCAGCATTCGGTCCTATGCGTCCCGACCGTGGTCCGCTCTTTACTACCTCCAAGGATGTGCGCGCTCTAAATATCGACAACTACGGCGCCATGCTGAACGACACACAGACCGTTTGGCTTGTGGATTTTTACTCTCCGTGGTGTCCGCACTGCCGCCAGTTCGCCCCTCAGTGGGAAGAGGTGGCCAACGTCTACGCTAAAGTCAAAACAATCCAACTAGGTGCAGTGGACTGCACGAAACAGAACGAAATTTGCGGTCGCGAAGACGTGCACTCGTACCCCGCCGTCAAGATGTTCCACGTGCCGCCTGATTCCATTGAAGCCATCGAGATGCCCCATGATGATCATGTGTATGCCCGACACGTAGCTAAGTGGATTGAGGAGACACTCAAGGAACACGGAATGGGGCCGTTCATTGATGTTGACAAGGTGTACCCGAAGAACACCATGCGTAACGATCTGAAGAAGAAGGAATTCAAGTTTGGAGACCCGGTCGAACCATTGTACGACGATCGGTCTGCGGAAATACAGCTAAAGAGATTAAAGGATGCAGGAACCACAGCATTATTTGTACTCAAGGATGGATTCTTTATGGGCACGACGGAGTTAGCTGGGGAGAGATATGCTGCTGCAGTAACGTGGGTGCAAACACTAGCGAATGCTTTCCCTACGAAGGAGAATCGTGCTGCGTTTGTACTTCTTGTGGATATGATGAAGAAGCAGAGCAGATGGAAGCAGGCGGACTGGAACACAATGCTAGACAACTGGAAAGTTTCAGCCAATGCGATAAGCTATCCGACGAATTTGTTTGCGAGCAAAGATGAGTTGAGTTTGTGCACGACGTTCACGTGCGGGCTATGGACGCTGTTTCACAGTTTAACTGTGAATAGTATCGGTCAGCTGATGCCGAGCGAGATCATGATTGCTATCCGTCTCGTTGTCAAGCATTTTTTCGGCTGCGAGGAATGCAAACGTCATTTCTTGAAAGCAAACCCGGAGAGTTTGATTGAGAAACTTGCACTCAGGGACGAAGATGGTTCTGACGCTGTAGCATTTTGGATCTGGACCATGCACAACACGGTCAACAAGGTCCTGAGCAAACCAAGATGGCCAACAAACTTGTCATGTCCCAACTGTTACTTTGCCAACGATCAGCCGCCGTCGTTAGACCCCGCGCAATTGAGCGAAGAAGATATCGTTGCATACGTCAAAAGTGTCTACAAGATTGAAGGCAATCTGAAACTTGGACAGCACGCTACTAATACAACGCCATGGAGGATTCACGTCGATGGCTGCAGTCGCTCTGCTAATAGCGATATTCGCTACGATATTCCAGCAGCACAAGCACCGCCTTGCAGGAATGAAAGTTTTGAAAACACGCGACCACATTGCGTAGAGTTGCAGGGCTGTAGCTGTGGAAATAACCCATAATACCGGTATAGAGCTAACAGTGACTCCTTACTTAAGAATCTAAAGGGTATAACTTTTAGGATTTTTAACCACAAAATTGTAAAGCTACTACATCTACAGTAACGTAAGTTTTCAGCGGGCAATTTCGACAAGAGATACTGCCAATGCGGGAGCTGGTGGTCATGTCTTGGACGCTTGCGTTCCTCTTGTTGCTGCCCACGACGTCGGCCTTCTCGCTTATGAAACATGATAGCAGCCCTCTTTTCACCAAGTCGTTCCAAGTGCACACGCTCTCCTCGCAGAACTACGACACAATGCTGAAGGATTCTGACATCGTCTGGTTAGTTGATTATTATGCGCCGTGGTGTCCACACTGTCGACACTTCGCCCCCGAGTGGGAACGTGTCGCCAACTTCTACGCTAAGACCGATAAAGTACAAGTAGGGGCTGTCGATTGCACCCAGAACAGCGAGATCTGCAACAATGAAAACATCCACGGTTATCCTGGTGTGAAAATCCACCATGTACCGGCAGATGCAGAGAAGGCGGTGATGATGGCACGAGGTGCAAGGGGCAGCAAATCAGTAGTTGACTGGGCTGAGAGGCTTATGGAGGAGCACGGCATTAAGTCTGGCGTGAATGTGGAGGAACTAGCAGCGCAGTTGAAGAATTTTAGAAATGCTGGCGTTGTGGAAGGCGGCGACGGGGAGCTAATGTACAACGATCAGTCACTTGAAATGAAGTACAAACGGCTATATGACGCGGGTATAGCAGCGGTATCGACCTTTCAGAACGGGTTCTTTATGGGGTCTAATGTACTGGAAGGCGAAAGGTACGATGTGGGCCTTGATGTGGGTGGAAGCACTTGCGGCGTCTTTTCCGATGCAGAAAAACCGACACGTGCTGGCTATGCTGGTGGAGTCAATGAAGACAAGTAATCACTGGAATCATGCTGACTGGAAGATATTGCTGAAAAACTGGAAGGAGGCGGCGAGTGACAAGACGTTTCCAGCTAATCTGTTCACGTCAAGTGAGGATAAGAGTTATGCATTTTGCAAGACGTATACTTGCGGATTGTGGTCACTGTTGCACAGTATCACTGTGAGTGATGTCAAAGTCAGCAAGAAATCGGCGACTCAGCCGTGGAAGCCAAGCAGGACCGTGGCAGCTATTAGGCTGTATGTCAAGAACTTTTTCGGATGCGAAGAATGCAGGGAGCATTTCATGTCGTCCAATCCGGAAAGCATTATTAAAGAACTTGCTGTGAGTGACGAGGAAGGGCCCCATGCTGTTGTTATGTGGATCTGGAAGATGCACAACAAAGTGAATAAAGCTCTCAAGAAGCAGCAGTGGCCGTCAAAGACAGCATGCCCAGTCTGCTACGTGGAAAATGGTGAGCCAATATCGCTTGATCCGGTGCGACTTCATGAGGACGAGATTGTCGCGTATGTAACAAGCGCCTATGGACACGATGACGAGGAGATTTATGCAATGGATGCCGCGTACAACGGCACAATCGTTGCACTGTGGTCGTCGACGCAAGGCTTTAGCGCAATGATGATGGTTCTGGGGTTCTTCGCGTTGCTCGGAGTAGCCTACAAAACGAGAAGGCACCGAGGCTTTGACCGAAAGAGGAATATGATGCGAGATCACATTGCATAATCTAACAGATAGGTTAATAAATACTCAAGTGTTTATTTTCTTCTTTTAAAAATTCGGTCAATTAAATAAAGGCACTCGTTATTTAGCCAGACTGGGTAACAAGAGACAGTACAATTACACCAGAATACAACCGATTAGCATGCCCGAATATGCCAGACTCAGGAAGAGCCGGACGTGTCATCAGTTGACGTGTCTTCGGAGTATACGTATAACCGGATGGCAGTGTGTTGGCTTTGAAACTGAACCCCGCAAGACGGTCAGCATCTAACTCTCAAGACAAAGTGCAGGGGGAATAACCTGGAGGTAGTCAACGCATCAAACACACTAACAAAAGACCAAATCATTGAAAAACTAGTTGCATTAAATGCACATGCACAGGTACCGATAGCGCAAATACTGTAGCTCCTTCCGACTTAGCAGATATAGGTTTTCAGCACCGGCAAATATCTCAAAAGCTAACAGCATATACATGCCACAATTGTAGCTATCAACCTGCACTCCAAGCTCGCTCGTGTATGGTCGAATTCGGTATTTTCTTGTAGCGAAATCTGGCAGCAATGCTACCATCTTCTCAGCGAGAGGTCGAACTTTTACGCCGTAGCTTGAGCTCATTGGATCATAGATAAAAACTTCTTTAAGCGACAGATCCATCATAACCGCACACCAGTGATTCTTGTTGCAGATGACAGGAATCAAAATCTTTTGGTTTGTCATGCCAGCAAACACGTCCTTCATAGTCTCCACCGCTAAGAAACCATTCATGACGTTACCGGCGATTGACGTGTCTACAGCAATCGTGTCTTCTCTCGCTGCGAACAACTTTAACATCAGCTTATTGACCGTGCTGTCGCCTAACGCAGACTTGCCGACGAGTTCGAGTGCTTCAGCCTATGTGCAATTACACAGCAGTAGATATTAGTATTTCCATTGCGGGGCCTGACTGTATGCAACTGCGTACCTGCACCGATAGTAAAGGAATAGATTTGATCTTGGATTGTGTATCAGGATCAAGATCAACACAAAACCATCGGGGCATTTGGAGTTCGAAATCGATGGTATCAATCCAAACGATAGCTTTTTCCGCATATTGGATGGTTTTCATCGCTTTGTGCCACTTCTTCATGACACCCAGCGTCTCGGTGGAGTAGGTACCTACTCCAACAATTTCCACGACAATGTCCTTCTCACCTAGATTTTGATCACTTGATTCCTTGTGTGCCTTCTGAAGAGCTAGCACTTTGGCACTGCATCTATCAAGGATATCCTTTCGGAAAATTCGGGGGATGGACTCAGCAGAGACGATCTTTTTTGAGGCGGGAAGTCTTGCTACCTTGTGGGCAACTGGAGCTCGGGGATTTTTTGTGAAATCGAACAGCTTAAATCTGGACACAATTGCGGCAGATGTCTCGTATGTTGACTCAATGCGTACGGCGTCTTGTATGGTTGCTAAACTCAGATTATCCGAGTACAAATTTGAATCATCTTGCACCATCAAAACATTTTTGCGGCGAGCTGCTTTCTTGGATTTTGCACTTTGCTTTGGGCGACCTCGGGACCTTGGAGGGCTCGCCACATCAAATGTATCATTTCCGACCGGTTGCAGAGTCGCATGAGAAGCTGAAGTCTCCACACCAGTCTGACAAATAAGCTCGGCCGACACCGAACCAGACTCTCCAGACTGGATGCCAGACTCGCCAGACTGGGTGCCAGACTCGCCAGACTGAGGTGTAATCTGCGTAGAAGGCTGTGATAATTCAGGGTCTTCCACTTCAACCTCGCCCACGGTATCTGAGTCGAAGACATCGTCGCGCGTACCTTCACTGATTGTCGGCATCTTAATCGATGAAGAAAAATCTCCAACCTTGAAACGGTGGGCGACGGCCTTTAAATAAGTCATTGCTTCACGATATTGGACCATGCCTAAACCAGCCATCGAATCGCAAATTTCACTAGCAATAGGCAAGGCACGTACGTCTTCGCGTACTGATCCCACTCGGCCGGGATTTTAGTCGCCGCGGAGCCCTGAGCATCTATCCTAGCATTCCGTACAGCCACTGAAGTGTTTGTTCTCACTCGAAATATCTAGCAGACAAACAAAACGTGATGAGACGGTATAGACAAACGCAACAGATAACTTAATAATGTACCTGGAGTGACTGCGCTTGGTACAGCGCTAGATAGGCCTCGAAGTCCTTCCACGACTGAAATTGTGTCTCTTGTGGTGGCGAGGCGAGGATAGAAATCTGACCCGATTCTTCACTTGCGCTACTGGTTACCGCCTCCGCCTCAGCAGAAGTCGGGCTCGACACTGGCTGCCAGTCACTCACGGAGCCGTCGGAGTCGTTGCTGGCGCTGTCGCTGTCGATACCCTCCAGTGCCAGGGGGCGCTTCTGTGCGCTGCGTGGCCGTGGTGCCATTTTCGTGCGTTTGGAGCCACGCGTTTGCTGGAGGGGGAGGATTTTTTGTGTGGGAGGGGTATACGCAGAGTATACGCTGTACCGAGTTCGGATATGGAAGATATCAGCAAATCCTATCAAATCCGAAGATAACACAAGATTTGCTACGAGTGGGATGCTCCCAGTCTGGCAAAATACTCACTTCCTTAAATAAAAGGACCGGTACATGTCCAAGCACGCTCTTTGGTACGAAACCCTGTGTAAACCGATATGAAGTCGATGGAACGTGTCCTTGAAGCCGAGCTGATGCGTACAGTATCTACTACGCTAGACGTTCGCCACAGCATGACTGGGCTTTGACAGTACATGTATAAAAAAACTCGGAAGCTGAACGTGTCAGACATAGAGAAAATATTTCAGTAACTTGCAGCACACCTTCATAATGACCGTCAAGACGCTGCTTCTGGCAGCAACGTTGACCGCTGCAGCATCTGCACGCCAGCCACGCGACAACAGTCCACTCTTCACGACGGAACAATGCCAGGTTCGCACGCTCAATAGCGAAGGCCACGCTGCTATGCTCGCAGACTTGGATGCAGTGTGGCTCGTGGACTACTACGCCCCCTGGTGCCCGCATTGTCGCCAATTTGCTCCAGCATGGGAGAAAGCCGCAGCTTTCTACGCCGATAACGCCAACGTCAACATCGCAGCCGTGGACTGCACGCAGAACAGCGAGGTGTGCAACAAAGAGGGTATTACGGGATACCCTACAAATAAGTTGTATCACGTACCACCGGAGAGCACGGAACCCGTTAAAATGCCTCATAAGAATCGTAAAAACACCAGCACAGTCATCGCCTGGGTGGAAGAGCAAATGGAGGCACACGGCTTGAAAATCAGCGCCAACACCGACAATATTGATGCACACATCGAGAAAGTCAACAATGGTTGTGAGATGGGCACTGTCCCTAACATTGTGAAGGCCTCAAAGACTGCCAAGCACGAGCTAAATGACTTGAGCATGGAGATGAAGTACAAGAGGCTGCACGATGCAGGAATCGCTGCTGTGTCCACGTTTGAGAACGGATTTTATGTTGGCACGACAGTGCTGGAAGGAGAGAGATACGACGCTGCTGTGAAGTGGGTCGAAGCACTGGCCAAGTCCTTTCCGATGGCAGGAAACCGTGTAGCGTTATCGTCGCTGGTAGATATAATAAAGGAGCAGAACAAATGGAAGCAGAACGATTGGAACACACTTCTAACCGAGTGGAAGAAGAACGCGACGACAACCAGCTTCCCTGCGAGCTTATTTGAATCAAGCGAGAAGAAGAACTGGGCGTACTGCACGACGTACACGTGTGGTGTCTGGACGCTGTTCCATACGATTAGTGTGAGCGATATCCCGTCAGACACGGCGTTGAAGCCCAGTGAGATCATGACTGCGATTCGACTGTTCGTCAAGTACTTTTTCAGCTGCGAGGAGTGCCAGCGACATTTTATGCTGACCAACCCGGAGAGCTTGCTCGAAAAGCTGGCAGAA